CACGTGAGACTTTGCTGAATACAAATGTGTAGTTTATTGCAGTAAAAGCAAACAGTATTATGACATTGACAGTTAAAATGTCATGTAGAACTAAAAAAAATTAATATAAAAAAAATGGGAGAAAAGAAGAATTTTTTAAAATTATGTTTCATAGCTAAATATTTGATATTAAATGAAAGCCCTGTTTCCCCTGAATAAAATGATATATAATAAGGGTGGGTGCATTTACTATGAAAAAGGTGAATTACGGTTGGACAGACATGTAGTGCAAATGCCAGGTTTTGTTTACATTTTGTTTCGTTCACAACGTGTACATTTGGCTCAGTCCTTAAGGGGTTAAGGAACAACATATGACATACAAGATGCATATTTGCCTGTGTAGCCAAAAATCTTCTCTGGCCTTTACAAAAGCCGATGTTTTAGCATTCAGGTGTCGATACAATGGCAAGGAGAGACATCAGCAATGTTCTTAGAGAATAAATTTCTGCTGGCCCTCAAACTGGGTTACAAGTCAACTTCCAAACAAATTAAAGTCTGTCATTGCATCTCAGACTCTACAGGCCTACATTAGCATGTTAAAGTTCATGACTGTACAAATATGGTTTGTTTAGAAAGGTTGAAAGGAGAGAGCCTCTTCTCTCTAAAGAGCATAGCAACACTGCTTAGGTTTGCGAAGTTGCATCCGAAAACTTCCGGTACAGACAAGACCAAAGGCATAACTCACAGCATCACTGCATATCAGTACAAACCCCTCATACACCTGTCTAGAACTGGTGGCGGTGTGATTTGGGCTAGTTTTGCAGCCACAAGAACCTCAGAACCTTTGTCAGTCAACCATGAACTCCTCTGTATACCAAAGTATTCTAGAGTTAAATGTCATCTGTCCGACAGCTAAAGCTTGGCAAAAATTGGGTCATGTAATAAGACAATGATCCCAAGAACACCAGCAAATCTACAACAGTGGTTGGTTGAAAAAAGAATCAAGGTGTTGCAATGGCCCAGTCACAGTCCAGACTTCAACCTAAATTAAATACTGGACCAGGACCTCAAGAGCTGTGTAAATGCCAGCAAAACTCAATGAACGTGCACACACTTGACAAATCCTGGTTGCCATTGTGACTAGAAATTTTGCCAGTACTGCCGGGAATATTGGAGCCAGCCACCCTAAGGAGGATGGAGCCAGCTGCAGTGAGCAGGATGCTGCTCGTGGGGGCGTTGTAGGCGATGTGCAAGGGAGCAGTGCTCTACCTGTAGTTGCTCTCTGCTCCCTTGTGCTCTGTGTAATGATGCCGGGAGCCAGAACATGACACCGCCCCAGCATCATTGGAGAGCAGCTACAGGCAGAGTACTGCTCACTCACACGCAGGATGAGAGCAGCCCCACTGGACACCAGGGTAGAGAAGCTGAGTCGGTTTCAATAAAAAGTGTGTGTATGGGAGTCTATCAGAATGTGTGTCGGGGTGTGTGCGCATTTATGGCTGAGATTCAGTCTTTATAATCTCGTCTAAGCCAATGCTTTCCTTTAGAAAAGCATTGGGGGATTTTGTGCATGCGCAGCAAATGTGCCAACCCACATCTCCTCAGAGATGCATTGAGTTAATGAATCTCTGAGGAACATTCAGCGCATCCATGCAGAGCTTGGAGACACTGAATGTGGATGCTGCACATGGTGCAGCAGTGATCCAGGACACTCTAGTGGCAGTCTGTCACTAGAGGGGTTACTAAAAAGCAATGTAAACACTGCATTTTCAATGAAAAGGTAGTGTTTACCGTCACGGGAGTCGTAACCAACATGCAGGAAAGAGGAAACTACAAAAGGTGGATTTGAAAGACTTATTACTGAGTCTTAGAATGGCCGGTCTTAAAACTAAACAAGAATCAGGGTCAAGAATAAATCAAGGACAGGAATACTTAGTCAAGGCAAAGTTTGGGTCAGGATACCAAAAATCACGAGTCAAAGACTGGAAGTCACGAGAATCACTAGGAGCACTAAACGAGTTTCTAACAAACCACAATAGGGCAATGAATGGGGTCTGAAACAAGCCTTAAATAGGCTTACTTATGTTCTGACAGGTCTACGTCATCACTGCGATCCAAAACAGATTAGGATTGCAATGATGACGTGGTCACTCTAAGAGTGAATGTGACGTCCACATCTATATAGTTGTGTAGTTCAGTCAGACCTCGCAGCAGGAGGAGTTAGTCTATGATCGAGTGAGGTGATGAGGGGGTTTCCCTTGGTCTGTGGGGATTGGCGGAGGTAAATAATGCCACATTTATACTGAAAAGCCTGCAGGGACAGGCTGTAGTGGTTATGGTGACTATAGTGTCCCTTTAAGAATTGCATTGTTCTTGTTGAAAATTACTGGCTCCTAACATTTTTAGGTGGCTTCTAGATTCCAAATAAATTTGTCAAGCCCTGAACTAAAGTAAGTTGTAAAGAATGGGCCAATATTCCTCATTTGAGGTACTGTTAAAGTTATTGATGCTAAAGTGGTATAAGGTGTACTTTGGTTGTTCACTCATGGCGTCTCAACTTTAGCTTTATTTCTGTTGAATCATGACATGCTGTAATGTCATGTTCATCTGATGTTGTTTACTTAATTTTAAGACTGGATAAGTGAAGACTTGACAAATTTGCATTAAATCTAGGAACAAATGTTAATTTTTTGATGGCTTTATTTTCAGCAATTAATACAACTCTTAAAGGGACACAAGCCACCAGGACTGTCCTTGCAGAGAAAACAGATTGTCCTGATATGTAAAACCACAGAATTCAAAAAGGATGTATTTTTGATACAAATACAAAGGATGTATTTCTTGATCTATGTATGGCATTTTGCATGCCTTTTTGAAGCAAGTTCTAGTACTGCCATGTAGTAACCAGACTTTTTTTTTTTTTCACATTTTGTAGGTATCAAGCATGAGTTGCAAGTAAACAACTTAGAAGACCTAATGGATCGTTGCATTCTTGCTGAAAAACTTGGAGGCAGCAGTGTCATTTCCCTGGAAGGAAAGGCCTTGTGAAACTCCCATCCCATTCCTTACCCAGTGTCTGTGCCACTCCTTAAAGGGGCTTCCATGTACCCATGATCACAGTGTCCCCTTTGTAGACCCTTTATTCACAATACCCTTTTTTTAAATATAACTGACACACCTACAAGCAGGTACCACCTATCAACACCTTCTGTAGACAGGCCCAGCCTTCCTCTTGGTAACCTGCCTTTTGGTCTCCACCTTTACAGATTTGTTTTTTTTTCTTTTCTTATTTTGGGCCTTGAAACATTGGCAGCTTTTCAGTCCGAATTTGCACATTGGCTTTTTTTAATTTTATTTTTTATTTATAAATTTTTTTTTTTTTTTGCTGCCCTGCTCCACTGCAATCTGCATTTATCTTAGAAGTTTGAGTTATTTTTGCCAAATGCAACCTGGCAGCATATATCCATCCTGCTATATATTCTATTCTTCTGTACATGAGCTGTAACTGTAGATATTCCCATTGTGCATTGAATTCAGGAGGATCAAACAGCTGAGTGGTTCCTACATTCCTTTGCCTATTTAATAGCTGCATACCATTTTCACTCATTCATTCCTTTTTTTTTTTTTTTTTTTGGCAAACTATTTCAGCCAATGAAGTACTCTTAATTTAATGTTTACTTTAAACTTGAGATTGTGGGACACCGCCCCTTCCTTAGCCCTGTATTCCATATTTTTGCATTTGAAATAGATGGCCGCATACACACTAAATATTTTGCCAATTTATCTCTGCAAATTACATAGTTTCATAGTTGAAAAGAGACTTGCGTCCATCAAGTTCAGCCGTGCTCTCATGTTTTTGCTGTTGCTCCAAAAAAATCCAGTCTGAAGCCCAAATGTATGGCCCTCTGCTCCTCTACTATTATGGATAAAGGGTCTATTTTTGGGAGGGTGTAGATTTTGTTTTCTGTATAAGATTTTCACCTTTAGTACCTCTTGTCCCTACACCTCAAAGTCAAACAAACATTAACTGCGGTCTCCAATTTATTTTTTCAGAGCTCTTTACTAAATTGAGAATTGTGAGGAACTTAAACTTCAAGGTCAGCATACACAAACTGGAAGCATTGTTGCCTTGGAGAATTTTTCATTTTGGATTTCTTGACCATAGATGTTAAATTCTCTAATTTCCAACACTTTTCACTCTAGTAAATAACTCTGTTTGTCTTGTGTTACTAATAGTCATACTGGCAAATCCAACATTAATAAACTTATAAAGGTATGTGACTTGTGTTGCTTATTTTCTTTAAAAAAAAATTTAACTGTAAAATAAGGTTTCTTTGTGTAACTAGATGTACTTGACAGTAAGCAGTATGACTAATATCTACAAACTGTCTGGACCAAGGTAATAACTGAACAGGGAAAAATAAGCTACGGGTGATATTGTAGAATTTGCAATTGTGCCCTGCAAGCCACTGAACAGATTACAAAACCTATTGTATCTTAAAGGGACATTCTACTGCCCAAATGTGCAAAAAGAATCCTGTTCGCATATATACGTATTCATTGAGATATAACCTCAATGAATACGTACATGTAATCATTGGTAAGATTTAACTGTGCTTGGTCTGGAGGAGCTGAGTGAGTTGGTCTGTGGGAGGAAGTAAACATTCCTCACTAACTTCTGTTTTGTGTCGTCGTGTCCCCCTTCCATCCCAGCACATTTATAAACAAGGGTTTTTAAAATGGGAATAATCCTCACCCATAAAACAATTCAGCAAGCTGAAGTTCTTTCTCTGGGTGTGGAGTGGTCCTATAACTTAAACTCAAAACATGAATGCTGCATGCATTTTAATTATCTGAATTGTGCATTTGAGAAACAAATGGAAAATCTTGAGTATTTGTATTTCTAACAGTGTCCTGCTTGCAGTTAAGAAGGTTCTGCCACCCCTTACCAAAGAGTAGCTTATTATTTATAAGCGCATGATGCACCAATACAATTAATGCATTTGGTAGATTTTGGCCTCATTAAGTGTTTGTTTTTTGTTTTTTAGAATTCTGCACCATCAGTCTGTCTCCTTACCCACATCCCTTCATGCAATAAATACTTCCTTATCAATGGTATACACAGTCTCAAGCAGGCTGCATGGGAGAGTAAGTAGAAACGTGGTTATAGCCTTTTGTGGCTGATTACATCCGCCAAGTTTGCAACTGGGAAACCATTGAATGGGCTCTATCTGGAGCTTTACTACCCTGGAACAATCTGGTTTGTGTAACTGTATAGCAGTCTCCCCCCAACACTAGCGGAGACTTGGTGAAGGGTGAAATAGAACTAGCTTGAATGAATCGCAGTTTATACACACAAAGGCCCAGCGTGGGGTTTCTATTTACAGTACAGTAAGACTGTCTATTTAAGTGGGCTGCAGCTATTCTCAGATCCATTGCGCTGGGGGAAAGTCCCAGTCACCCAAAATAGTGGTGCTTTTCTTGTATCCTTGTAACTCCAAGTCCATGTTATCCTTGGGTGCCTCACCACTTTCTCTGTCTCCTCTGCAAAAAGTGCCCTGCTAGGTGGTACTGGGATCAAGAGCACTCAGGAAAAAGTTGCAGTGTACCGCTGCATTCTGATCCAGAGTTCAAGGGCCTTTGGAGGTTGTTCCCTGTCAGGTGCGCTGTGCCCCTGAAGCCTCCACACGGGTCTACAGTGATCCTGAGGGCCGTTTGGAAGAGTGCTACAATGGAGGCACGGCTGCTAGGGGAAAGTACAGTGAAAACCACTAATTTAGGAAGGGGTGGAGGGTTAGTGAGCCATGTATCTGTCCAAGGTAATCAGGCGGGGAAATTAGTTTAGTTCATGTGAGAAGAGTCTCTGGGGCTAAGCGCATAGTCTTTAGGCAGGAGGCTAGCCTTAACGCTTCTCCAGGAGTTCGTGTCATGGGAGCAGCGTTTGTCACATCCTTACTATGTGCAGTGTCCTCGCCTTCTAATGCAGGATGTATTGTTCAGATCATTCACTATTGTTAGTGGCTGAGCTATGTGTAAATTTTTTTTTATTTTTTTAATAAGTAGATATTCTTCCTG